CAATAATACACTAATAATATTAACAATATTTGTTATTCAACAAAGTAAACACTTTGACTTTAAAAGTCAAATTACAAACACATTCCAATCCAAACTTATATTAATTTGATAATTATATGCTGAGTAGTGAGAACACTATTAAAATTTGTTGCTTGCCTTAATTAAGCCATTACTCGTCTAGAAGGAGTTTGCATGTATAGTAACAACTCTGTGTTCAAACCATGAAACAGTCTGGCAACTGAGCCCACCTGTTTCAGACATCATTCTTTAGTTTGCCTGGAATGATGGCATATACACATCATTCACAAGTAAGGCTCCAGTGATGTGACATGATGTGACATGACACAGGCAATGACAGAAACACCCTGGGTCCATTACACATGTGATTTTTGAATGACCTTTTGCTTTAGCGTTGCTTAATTTCTCACAGCCCTCACATTCATTAATGGGATCCGACAAGTGCTCATAGCCTACGGTTTAAGAAACTGGGATTTAAAAGGTGATTAGCACAGAGACCCACAGCTAGTCACAGTATAGAGAATAAGAGAGCATGGAATGCTCAGCCCTATATGGGACATTCATATCACAAACCCACCTCACAAGGTTCAGGCATCATTGTGGAAATGGCAGCAGAAAGGTTACAAGAGCCAGAGATGGTAGATAACTACAAAGAAACTGTTTTCTGGACACAAATGAACTTACATCAGTTATGACAGTGTACAAGATTTCTTCAAGCTCAAGCCAGACCAAATCCCAGCTGGAAGAGAAGAGGCAGGCAGAAAGCCCACCCCTAAATGATAAACTGCAGGCAATTAATAGCAGCTGGGGGCAGGGTAAGTTTCTTGAAGGATGTAGTCCTTACTGGACGCTTGAGTGGCTGGCCACAAACCTAAGAACCTATGAACAAGCCAAGTCGGACTCAATGGGTTTAACAAATGAAAGAAAGAACAAAAAAGAGGGTATAGATATGGGAGGGGTAAATATGATCAAAACACATTGTCCAAAAATCTCAAAGAACTAATAAAATTAAAGAAAAATTAACTAAAAGTCACAATATTTGCAGATAAGAAATTCAGAGTCAGTGAAGAATTAGAGACTTGTTGGTTCTAGTAAAAGGGCAACACACAGTTATTTCCTAAAGTCTTCCCCTGAGCACAAAACCAGGGGGAGAAGGGAAAGCCAAATGATGGGAATGATGTCATGGAAACATCGTTAGTTCCAAGTATGATCAAGTACAGTTGGGCTCTCCAGCCTGAGGTTTGCATCCTTGGAGTAAGACATCAACGACTCTTCTTAGGAAGCTGAAAGAAGAATGGCTTCTGTGTTTTAAGGGGAGAGTTGATGCAGCAGCTTGTGAAATGGGCTATGAGATGGAAGAATGGTGGGGTCAGGTATATTGGAAGATGCTAGCTGTGTTTCATTGACATTTACGTAGAGTTCCCTTCATTTGGGGAGATGACTGTGCAGTTAAGAAATTTAGCAAAAAGCTTGGAATGCTTTTGCTAAAATGAAATCGGCATTTTTATCCTTGCTCTTCAATCATTTTGAGGAATTAGGATTAACAACACCAACTCACAACAGCTTTGTTCTTCACCACTAAATTAAGTCATCTTTGAATATTATAAGATCCAAATTGCTAGAGACTTTAATCTGCACTGGGCATCTCATTTAATTTTAAATAATAGGATGGATGATTATTTTCTAATTGAGAAAGACACAATTTGTATTTCATCTTGGGTATTGGAGAGGCCTTTTTATTTGTCAGGATGATAAACTCTGTGTGCAAAAGGTCACAAAGCAAGAAGCAAGTTGGCAGATTGACATTTTAATCTCATTTAACACAAACATAATTATGGTCATAAAAATCTGAAATGGAAATAAATTAAAATTATGCTCTCATTATCTTGGATTATGTTTCTATGAGCTTTGTGAAGGAAATAAAGAGAGAGAGAGGAGAGAAAGGAATCAATCCATTGACTCAAGGAAAGGGAATATTGAGGCATGGAGGCCAAAAATCTGAGGAGGGAAGTTTTGCTCCCTGTGTGTGTGGATGTTATTCTACCCACACTGACATCCCAATTTCTTCAGTTTAGTTATTACGAGACAAGCAAAGAAACAAAGCCTTTGCCCTTCTCCTTCTGAATGCTCTAGTTTAAATTGGATTCACTTGTTTTTCACCAGGACCATACTTCACATCCATAAAATTCTCTGGCCTTTCAGACCAACAATCTGTCATGCAGATTTCAGATCAGCATAGATTTGTTATCCAAGGCAGAGAGCACTTCTGGGCTATAGCTGCCTCTTTGGTGACATCTGTGCCTGTCCCCAGGAGTGCAAGATCTTGATTTCAAGGACAGAAATGACAGATTTCCTTTAATCACATTTTAGAGCCAGAGAAATCACTCTTCAGAAAAGAACAAGATTCTAAATTATAGATGAAACAACCTTATCGGGTAGGTATATCATCCTCACTTGCATCCACATAATCGCCTCAAGAGAGGCCAGAAATACAGGTGAAATTACTTAGGAAAGACCTCTAAGGGCTATCTTTCCTTATCATTGTTCTTTTAAAGATTTATTTATTTTGTGTATATGAGTGTTCCATCTGCATTTACACCTGCCAGAAGAGTTCACATCATAGACGGTTGTGAGCCACCATGTGGTCGCTGGGAATTGAACTCATGACCTTTGGAAGAGCAGACAGTGCTCTTAACCACTGAGCCATCTCTCCAGCCCCATCTTTATTTTTTTTAATCTAATTAAATTGTTACTTTTTTCTTCCTTTCTATAGTTATTAAATCTTCTGTAGTTAATAGGCTATTATTGTTTTTAATTTTATTAGTCTATATATATTACATATTAATTATATATAGCATAATTATAATTGTAGTATATATTACATGCTATATATTAATTATATTAGTTATACACATAACTAATTCTATATTATAGTTTTATATGTTAGTTATATATAGTATATTTATTAACTATATATAGCATAATTATGTTGAAACATATTTAGATTATATGTCTAAACAACATTTAGGCTTAATGAAACACCATAGCCCATGTACCTTATACAACAAAATACTTTGTTAAAATCATTTTAGAGGTGTGTATTTCTACATCAAAGACTATGATGTCTTTATGACTTGTAGATGGCCACCTCATTGTCGCATGGCCTGAGGACAGAAAGCTATTTTTAAAAAACAGAGTGTAAGAATACTAGCAGATGCTCTCCCCTTACAGGAACACTAACCCTGAGAGATCAGGACCCCGTATTTATGACCTCTTTTAAATCCAGTTACTTCCTTAGAGGCTCTACCTTCAAATCAAGCCCCAGGAAGTTTAGGGCAACATAGGAACGAGAAAATCTGTGCTGGTTTAGTTTTTTGTTGCTCTTTTGGTTTATTTTGTTTTTATTGACTTAACACAAGCAAGAGTAGTCTGGGAAGACAGGGGCTCAAATGAAAAAAAAAATGTCTCCATTAGATTGTTTTGTAGGCAAGTCTATGAGAACATCTTCTTGATTAATGATTGTTGTAGAAAGGCCCAGCTCAGGGTGGATAATGCCACGCCTGGGCAGATGGTCCTGGGTTGTTAAAAAAGCAAACTGAACAAGCCAGTAAGAGTTCCTCCACAAACGTTCCTTTTCTGCCTCAATTCTTGTTTCCAGGTCACTTCCTAGAGTTTCTGCCCTGACTTCCCTATATGGTGGAGTGTAAGCTGTAAGATGAAATAATGTCTTCATTACCCATGCTGCTCTTGGTCATAGCATTTATTACAGCAATAGAAACCCTATGATAGTATCCCAACTCCTGTGCATTTCAAATATTCCTCGTCTTTATAACATCTTATTCATCCTACTGTTTCTTGCCCTGTCTCTGCTATAGATGGGCCTCTAGAATGTGCTTCCTTTCTCCTTCAGCAACACTTTTGGAAAGAAATCAGGGCCTGGGTGTGATGTTTCAGACCAGCAACGTTAGAAAGAGGAGTGATGGAGACAACTGGTCCATTCGCATGGTGGTAGTTACATCAAATAATGAGAAGTAGATTTTTCTTTTCTCCGTGTCCTCTTACGATTTATACATTTGCACATACTGTGGGCATGTGTATTTAATAGGAAGAAGTACCTCAAATATCTCTGTATTTTGAGTATCTCATCCTGTGGCTGCCTTCCACCAGGTCCACCTCTATTTCTCGTATTCAATCTTCTTTTCTCCAAGTTTTAAGCTTTTATGTAAAAATATAGGCCTCTATAACAATCCTAGATGTAACAGCTTAGAGGAGATTTTTGGTTTTTGTTATTTGGGGTGGGATATGAAATCATTCTTTGAGAAAAATACAAATGCTGTAATGAGAATTTAAAAAACCTAATTAGTATAAAAACATTTTCATAGATTTCTCTGCCAATGAAAAAAATAAAGTGCATTTCCTTAAGGCATTTCTTAGTATGCAAATGAAATTTCAGAGTACAGCCCTGACAGTCACAATAATGAAATATATAAGACCAATTAAACTGCTATACTCAGAGTCTAAGATTTAATTTCAGTGACTCATAGCTACAAAAGCAGAGGTCTTAATGCACTAGTATTATGAAGTATAGTTTTTAAAGGGAGATAGTGTTTTATTAAAGAAGCGTGCATATTATTCATGAATGGAACAGAAAGGGTTCTCATTCAATAACTGTGTCCAATGAACAAAGCACATTATATTTTAGTTGATACTGATCTCCAACATTTATTTACCAGTGTGTACAATAGAATAACAGATGACAGAATTGTGTGGGTCTTGGAGAAACCACCAAGTACATCTTTTTTTAAAATTCTTTATTAATTACACTTTATTCACTTTGTATTCCCCCTGTGGTTCCCTCCCTCCTCCCATCCCAATCCCACCCTTCCTCCACCCTCTGTATGCATGCCCCTCCTCAAGTCCACTGATAGGGGAAATCTTCTTTTCCTTCCTTCTGATCCTAGTCAATTAGGTCATCAGGAGTGGCTGCATTGTCTTCTTCTGTGGCCTGGTAATGCCAAGTACATCTTATCAGCACAGCCACCTTCCAGTGATGGAAGAAAAGAACACTGAAATCAGTTCCTGACGTGGGATGGATGTGAGAGCTTGATAAAATACAAATTTATGGAATACACAGATAGAATATATAGGAAGAGTTTCTAGAAAAGCATGAAAGCAGATGCTGAGACTCATAACCAAACTTTGCACAGAGTTCAGGGAATCTTATGAAAGAACGGGGAGTTAGTAAGACCTGGAGAGGACAGGAGCTCCACAAGGACAGCAACAGAACCAAAAAATCTGGTCACAAGGGTTTTTCTGAGACTGATACTCCAGCCAAGGACCATTCATGGATATAACCTATAACCTCAGATGTAGCCCATGGCAGCTCAGTCTCCAAATGGGTACCCTAGTAAGAGGAACAAGGACTATCTCTGACATGAGCTCAGTGGCTGGCTCTTTGATCACCACCCTCTGAGTGGGGAGCAGCCTTGCCAGGCCACAGAGGAGGACAATGCAGCCAGTCCTGATGAGACCTGATAAGCTAGGGTCAGATGGAAGGAAGGGGAGGAGGACCACCCTATCAGTGGACTTGGAGAGGGGCATGGAAGGAGATAAAGGAGGTAGGATAGGATTGGAAGGGAATGCGGGAGGGGCCTACAGCTGGAATACAAAGTGAATAAACTGTAATTCATATAAAAAAAAAAGTCCCAGGGTGAGTGTGGTAGTTGGAATGAAAATGGTTCACAAGGTCTCATACCTTGAATACTTGGTTCCCAGCTGATGAAACTGTTTGGGAAAGATTAGGAGGTATGGCTTTATTAGAAGATGTACATAACTGGGAGAAGGTTTTCAGGTTTTAAAAGCCCATGCTCTTTTCAATTAAGGTGCTCTCTCTCTCTGTCTCTCACTCTCTCCTGCCTGTGGATTAAGACATAAGCTCTCAGCTGCTCCTCTAGTACTGTATTTGCTTGTCTGCTGCCTTGTTCCCCACCATAATGACCACAGACTCTAATTCTCTGAAACTATAAGTCCTCAATAAATTCTTTCTTCTATAAGTTACCTTGGTCATGGTGTCTGATCACAGCAATGGAAAAAGAACTAAGATAACGAGTCTTAACCACATTGTTGATTCAGAACCATTTTTCATAATATGGTATTTTCTTCCCACCCACCCCCTTTTGTACATACAAGGTAGCCTGAGAGTAGAGGGGTAGAGAAAGAAGTGTATTACGTGAAAGTATTGGCTAGATGGCAAAAGCCATAGAAAGCATAAACAATATGAATACACAGAATTCATATTATAAGGAGACCTGGGAGGGATTGCTATATGTAAAAAGCACTGTGGATAGAGTGAGGATGAAAGATTTAACTTTCCAGTATTTTAAGATTAAACAAAGATTTCCAAGAAAATCTGGGGTCAGAGTGAATATTTTTAGCTTCTAGCCAGAATATTGTTTTAGAGGCCTGTGCCTTGAGGTCATTTGCTACCTTGAGTTTCTCAATTATAAATTTTTCAGTTACTGTCATAACTCTCATGACATTTGCTGAATATTTTCTACATTAAAATTAACAATATATCTTTAAATAATTCATTTTGATACAACATGACTCTGAGAGCTGGGGAATCACTCAGAGGTAAAACATTTAACTAGTGTGTGTGTGTGGTCCTAGGGTCAGTTTCCAACTCTGGGAATCAAAGACCTAAATATTTGATTCAAAGTAATTTTTAATGTGTTGCTTCCCAACAATTCTACAACTCAGTGCCCTTTAATTTAGTTGAATTCTGACACTAATTTTAAATTTAGTATACACCCCATACATGTCAGATACCTTGCTCCTCAAAGAGAGCCCTCCTTCAGATGGCAACCACAACTCCTCACTATTCCTAAGTAACCTTCATTTATTCCCAGCTGGCATCCAATTTAGGGCTTCTTTTAATACATTGAGAGTTCCCTAATCCTCTAAAATAGTTTAAAGAATCCATAAAAATATTTCACTTAGAATTGCAACTTTATTATAGAGGCTGCAAGCCAGAGAAAAGATAGAGAAAACATGGTTGGAAGAAGGAGAATTCAAAGCACTCTGTTGCACAAAGGTGCACTGTGCTGCCTTCTGGTACATGATGTGATCAGAACCTGGCAACTTCTAAGTGTCACAAAAAACTTCTATGAAGTTTGAATTTACTTAGGCAACATAAATACAACCAACGGCCATGTGACTAAACAAGTTCTAAGAGCCTCTCTCTGGAAACTTGAATGCAGGGCTGAAAAATCCCAGTCCTATATTACACGGTTATTTTTCTTCAAGCTATCTTGAACTTATATAACCCCTTATCAGCATAAACTCAGCTTAAATTTAAGTGGATTCACTGCATCTCTATAAATACCAAATATAATGATGTTACTCAGGAAATTCTAAGATATTTTGAAACATGGATAATATAATATACACATACATATAACATTATCAAATGTGTGTATATAAAATACATATATGTTATATATAATTTTATGTATATATGGAAATGAAATATATATGTGCAGAAATATTCCACGATTAAATGTATCCTGATATATAAAAATATAAAGACATAAATGTTAGGTTGCTTTTGTCTATGTTATTTCTAGTTCTAGCAACCGTATACATATTCACTAGATGTGAACACATCTCTCTTGGTTTTACTAATTGGGTCCCTAAATAGCCTCAGCAAAAAAAATTCAGTTTGATGTATTTGTTTCAACTGTTAAAGTGTTACTACTTGCTTAAGCAAGATCAGACCCATCCTCAATTATGATTTTCATTGATTTAGATTTGGTTTAGGAACCACAGACTGAAAGAAGAGATGTCTAATTTTGAAAGCAAGGAATGTATATATCTGGAGAGAAACACCCAGCACACCCACTAGACTATGAGTTTTCTTATACAGCAAAGAACCATCAGTCTAGGAGAGCCACTGTCCACAATGGGCTGGAGCTCCAACACCAAAAAAAGCCCCTCCCCCCGCAAGCCATCCTGATGGAGGCATTTTCTCAATGGAGATTCCCTCTTCCCAGATGACCCTAGCTTGTGTCAAGATGACGAAAAACTAATAGCATATTAGCTTTCTGAAAATATGTATATTTGAAAGCTAAATATAGGCAATTATTTTGCTTTGTGTACCAGATATGAAACCAAATTTAAACTGCCAAAACAAAAATGATAATTGGTCCTCATAGCTATACCATTTAGCTCTTCAAAGGTTAATTGACTTAAACTGAAGAAACTAAGCAATGCAGTTTAGGTTGCAACTGATAATAATTATTATTATACTCACACCTGACACTGAATGAACAAGTATTTTTACATCCTCAAAGATAAACACATTTCCTAATCAGCTATTCACTACCTGAAACTACTACTGCTGACCCAAAGTACCAGAGTGTTGTTTTTTTTTCTCTACTTGAGATCCACTCTTCAGGTAATATTGTCTTGCTCTAAGTACAGAAAACTATAGACCACACAGTTGAACATTTACCAACATATTTGGATTGCTAGGACTCACTTGCCAAACAGTGTAGTCTCCTTGGAGAGATCTAGGCCAGAAAAAGACCTTGCCTCAAGATACAAGGAGGATGGCTCCTGAAGAGACGTGCTGTAAATTATCCTCTGTTCTCTATGTTTTCCTAGACATGTACACCTTCACACACACACACACACACACACACACACACACGCACACACACCAAAATACTAGAAGTATAAAAGGTTTATTAGAAAAATACCTGTGGTAGGGACAAGAAAAAATGAGCAGGAGTTGGTAATATAATCTACTACAATGTATTTCTGACCATTTGGAATGGAGAGGAAAATAGCATGAAAATTCAATCACAAGAGACACAAAGTGTTTTGTAGTTCTGAAAAGATTTTGGACAGATGTGTGTAGCTACCCACCCCTGCCTCTCCCACACACACGCACACACACAAACACACACACAGAGCCTGCTCCACGGAGGCTCCTGTGTCCTGAATGAAGGGGCTGGTCTAGAGTACTAGCCTCATGTGGTCACTGTCTGGGAGTATGCTACTATGAATGTGATTCTTGGAAAAGCAACCGCTGGAGGCCTGTTCATAATTGTACTCCTTCTAACAGGTATGCCTGAAGGATATCTGAATGGAAAACAGACTTAGTTCAAAGAGCATTCTATAGTCTAACCTAGGAAGTGGTCATGGAAGTGTGCATGTGTGTGATAATTTACCTAGTTATACACATTCAGTATATGTATATTATGCCTTTTATGCAAATAGGCTATGTAGTCAAAATTACTGTAAATTTATCATGTAAACGACTGAAGTCACCATTCTAGAAAATTCTGCCTACATATTTTAAGAACAGTCTCACTCTGGAATCAATCACAGAGTGAATGAGGAACAGTTTTACTTGTATTACCCAGATAATTGCCTCATCTTCTACTTCACTCAAAATAGTGAGTTAATTCTCCTTGCTACATAGTAACTGAAGACAAAGGCTCCTGTTTTCAATCATAGTATTCTTAGAATTTCTAAGCCTAAAGCCCTTTTTTTTGTAATGTGTGATTTCAGTCTAGAAGGAGGCAGATTATCTGCTGTTTCTACATGTTCTTCTGGAGTTTCTGGCCAGGCCTGAGGTCTGATTGCTGCTGAAATGGAAAGAGAGTGGCTGAGATTTCAAGTTGTGCAAAATCTGTATCTACTCAGGTGTCTTGAAGAGAATTTGCTTCAGCAGCCTGTAAGACTAGCCAAGATGCATTCCTAGACCTTTAATTGGCTTCCTTTATCTGTCTGCTTTGACAGTCACAACAGTCTTCATCATAGAAGGAAAAACTTTTGTAATAAATGAATGCATACACAACACTCTGTAAAATAAAGCACAGTGCCTGTTAGAAAGCAGGCTGTCTGGAAACAGGTTTCTTCAATTTTTCCACTTTCTGCCTTAAGAACTGCTTTAGGTAGATCTGCAGAAAAGCCTCATTGTTCTGATCATAGCCCTTGACTACAAAGGCAAGATCAAGACAAACAATGGTAAAATATTCCCCCATTAAAGGAAGAAAGAGGGACTGGAACATAGATTTTCAAATCTTCAACTGTGAACTTTTGTGTGACTGATTTACAAAAAAAAAAAAAAAAGGCCTTGCAAGAACTAGAAGACCAGTTTTTATTATTGCTGAATATATCCTAATACTTTTCAAATTGCACAAATGACTTTTCATTAATGAATATTTTCTTAAACAGTATGAAGATTTTTTTGTTTTGTTTTGTTTTGTTTTGTTTTGTCTTGCTTTGTTTTTAAGTATGTTCTTCCCATCCTGGAAAATGAGCCCACAATGAATCTAAAAGAAGAGACTCACCCTTCTAAAATGTGCTTTGATGGAACTGTTTTTCAAAACATAATCAAAAAGTTACAGCTAAGTTAATAGTTATGACCCAAATTCAAACCAAGGTCTTGAGTAGGATTTTTTCCTTGCTAACAAAATCACATTATTTAGGCTGAATGTCAGAAAATGTGCCCTATTTCTCTACAGCAATTCCCAGGGATGTTTCAAACGGGCTACTGTGGGTTACAGGGACAGATGTCTGACATGTGGGTTTCTGGTTTTTTTTTTTTTTTGTTGTTGTTGTTTTTTTTTTTTTTTTGGCACCTGTTAATTGAATCTGCATTTCATGATTTGGCTCGCATAAAAAAATATAATGGAAAGGAGTGTCCTTTCATGCACAATGAGAGACAAATATGGAAGAAAATGTATAATATCCTAAAAGAGATTTTATACATTATTGAAGACAAAGGAACGGCAAGGTAAATAGATCGGAGTTGGGAGCCTTTTTAAATCATGTCCACCAAAGCATTCCAGTCAGTATACTGAACACACCTCAGATGAGGATAGATTTGCCACTTGGTTTCACCCAGTAACAATCTCCAGGCTTAAAGGGGCCTTTGTAAAGAGAAATAGCAAAGCTGCATGCATCCCGAATTTCTTTTTTTTTTTTTTTTTAAAGGCAGTCTGTTGCTTAAACATGAATTCTTAGAATGTAAAATGTAACGATAAAGAAGGCTATCTTGGCTATGTAATGAATTGAGAATAGGCAAAAATAAATTTAAAATAGTGCCCAGAAAAGCTGCAGAGCATTATCTCAAGCAAGAATGTTGAATGCAAACATGCCTAGCGCTTTGGCCTGGAGCTGTGTCTACATAACAAGACTGAGGCAATTATTCTGAGGCTGTTGCCTTTTTTTGTTCAAAATAATCCAATGTCTGCAAAAATCAATCTGAGACCTTTACAGTTTATGTGATCTAATTTTCAAGGAGGGAGAAATAGATAAACAAACTGCAGTTGCTGATAAGCCATTTCCATAGTAAAAATTCTATAATTAAGGTAACTGGGAAATGCTTGATGTTGTTCCTGTGATTTAAAGCCCTTCCCAATCCAATTTGCCTAGAATACGTACAGACCAAATTAATACACAGATGTCACCAACTTCTATTTTAAGGCACTGCTCCAGAGGAGCCATCACCTTCGGTGACAGCTGTAAAGCTGTTACCTGGAATTGGTGTTTTGTTTCCCGTGAGCTCTTGAGCGTCATCTTTATGTGTGTAGTAGGATGGAATGATTACACCGGGACTCCTGCTTTTTAATGCAGCATCCATATTTCATAGGACGCAGGAACGCAGAGGGGGAGAGCGTCTGTGTGACATGAAGCCAACCACGAATGAGAGGCCTTCTGAACACCAAGCAGGTATTCCCAGCTGACTCGGAACCCAGCACTTCAGCGTCTCTCCCTTACGAATCAAGAAAGTCTAGGACAGTCTTTTCCCAGTGCACTTCAGATATTTAAACTGAAAAAAAAAAAAAGAGCAATTTTAGAGTAGAGGAGAGATGCACCTCTGATCTTCCAACCATGTATTTGGATGTTAGAGGTTAAAAAACAAGAGTAATGCAAATATGATAGTAATAATAATAACAACAACAACAATAATAATACAGCTGTGGAGGTTTGTAGGCACGTTGCAGGACAAAAAGTTTCCATACGGAAGAACAGTTTTAAGCAACCTTGCAAAGAAAAACGGAAGATCCTCTATATTTATGTATGAGCTCTCAACCTTGAAGGTGAAAAAAGATAAGGAATCTGGGGCCTCAGAAAAGCAGAGCAGAGCAGAAAGGGACACCATTGAGAATACCAGGATTCCTTGCTATAGCTGTACCTTCACGGCCCAAAACTGCTCGGGTTTGCTCCCCAAATCAGCTAGCAACAAGTGAAGGAAGATTTAAGTGTCCTGGAGTCCCCCACTCCCTGACATAATTAAGAGGCCACGAGCTGTTCCTTACCAAGTCCCAGGAACTCTTAAGCACATTATTTCATTTCCTGAGCCCATAACGTGGGCTAGTGACTCCAGAATGTGTGACTAGTCATCTCTTCTGCATCCTTCTTAATATTCCATCCAAATGAGTACCGCATTGTGGTTTGGTTTCTCCCTGGGGCACCCAGATGCCGCCTGACACCAAGCAGAGAAGGAGGAAGCAGAGTCTGGAATGGGTGGGCACTGCAAGATTCAAGTCCAGCTGGGGGTGCTGGGAGGCTGGGGTGGGAGCAGAGGGCATACATTCAGTGAATCAGCTCAAGTTTGTGTGTGTGAGTGAGTGTGTGTGTGTGTGTGTGTGTGTCTGTCTGTGTAACAGCTTATGTGCCCAGGTGTACCTTTATTCCAGGGTAAACGAGTGTTATTTGAACCTTAGGCAGTGGGGAGGAGTTTGGGGCATGAATGTATTTAATTGGCTAAGATGCTAGTGACGCTCTATTTGCGACTACCTGATAACCTTGGGGGTCTGTATGCTACGTGCTACCTGCTCAGAGGCAGGCATGGAAAGAGAGAGGGAGCCTCTCCCACTCCTGCCATTTCAAGATGAAATTTTAAAACTCAAGTTTGAGATGTCCAGGATTTGAAAATGCTCCATTTCACTAGTTCCACTCCGGTTCCCTTGGTGGCACGGTCCGCATGCCCCACATTGCATCTTCCTCATTCAAGGAGTCACAGCCACCACCTGAACCTTGGAATATCTGCCCTGTGTTTGAGGTCTCTGCATCCTGCATACAGACAGAAAAAAATGACCTTCATCTAAAGTACAGCCTGTGTCCCCTAGTCTTAATGAAGAACCGAACCATGAATCATTCCGTCCTCTTGTCAAACTGACACCAGATTGGCCGCCACCATCCTTGAGGACTGTCACATGCAATCATCCTTGTGTTACTTATCATGGCTGCTATGAGAAATTACTCCCAGGTAGATGATTCACAACGGATCCTAGTCTCAGAAGGGTGAAAGTCCCCCGAAAAAGTGGCTATTTAATTCCTAAAGAAGTTCAAGGAGATTTTGGCTACAGGATGGAGGCTTTCAGGATGGAAGAGGTGGCATTGCCCCCTGAGAGAAGAGTGGGTGATCTGACAGTGGCAGGTCTGTGGTTAGTCGTGGACTAAATATGTGCCACCGCAATCAGCTTTGGTGGGTTTGTTGGCTTGTTTGCTCCCACACAGGGAGATTCATTTCCACACGAAGGTCAGGGTTTCAATATGTAATGTTCCGTTGAACTGGTAAGTGTCCAAGTGATGCGCTCTCCTGGGTAGCTGTATATAAAGCATGGATAGTCTTAGAAGTCCTGTCCTAGAAGACCTAGGAGGGTCAACTCAGACCCTCTCAGGGTACCCAATGAGTCTATGAGACCCATATGAAGTTTCTAGGTTCCTGCTTTTCCTCCCAGCTCCTCTTAGAGGAGGTAGGTGGACAGCTAAACCAGGAAGGTGCATTTCAGAGAGACTGGTGTCTGCAAATTGCTTCCCCCATGGCAGGTCGCTGTAAAGCTACTTGCTGCCTCCATGGCCAACAAATGCCATACGCATCTGATTACCACTTCCTCCTGTGCTGAAAGTAGCTCTGCTGAGGTCCTTGGCTTTAAATCTGCCTTGCTTATGCTTTCCATTCGTAAGTAAATTTCTTCTCTTGCTTTGCATTAAGGCTAAACTGTATAAAAGATGACTTGAAAAAGAACGTTAATCACTTTACCCTTCTTCTAGAACAGCTACTCCAGGAATTTTCCAGATGAGTCCTCAGCTCTGGGCCAATGAGCAACCATCTCCATTTTACAGATGAAAATCGATGTCTGAAAAAGAAATCAGCAATAAAAAAAGAGCAGAAACAGGCATGATGCGATCTAATTTAGACAATTCTGAATGTGAAGTTTTCTATTTACATTTTCCTAATTTCTTTTTGCTTTCTGAGTTATTGGTCCCTCCCCCACCCAAAATATCTCAATGCAGTTATTTACAAAGGATATTAAGATTATTTCAGAGAGTTTGAAAAGAAAAGGAAAGAGCCTACATTTGATTCTTCGTATTAAATTGAGACCATCCATTACTGACAAGCTAATCTTGTTTATGTTCTATGCTGGAGGATCTTGCTCATATTTTTTTTTCCTTCATGATACAGGAAAAAAAAAATGTTTCTTCTAGCTACATACTAGTGGGGACCCAATCAATAGTCCATCCCTTCATACAGCAGACCAACGATATTACATCATGGAAAGGGTAAGGGAGACAAGGAATAGGGGGGAACAATAAAGGCAGAAAAGTGATGAGGAGAAACAAGTACATGGTATGGTCAAACATGACCTTCAGCCTAGCGTGGGCATGTATTAGATAAATAATGTTTGGCTAAAAGCAGGTGGAAGCTTCCCAAACATCAAAAGAAAATTTCCTCATATATTTCTTTTAACTGCACCACTCACAACAAACCTAGATCAAATTAGTTGTTGGGTAAAGTGAGCCCTTGGCTCCCCATGATTCTAAATAGCATAGATAGGAGCAAAGCATACTGCAGAGCTGGCTGGAAACCGTAGTGCAGAGCTCTGCATTGAAGGTGCTAGCCACAATCCAGGTGGGATCCCAGGGATCAGAGCCTTCCCACAGCCCCCAGGAATCAAACTCATGAGCATCAAGCCTCACTAAGCAAACCAAGGAAGAAGAAATATTAGTCATAGGATAGCTGTGGATAGGTTTGAGGGCACCAGTCCAGAAGACAGGGCTCCAAGGGACACCATGACCAAGGTGCCTAGCTCTGCTTTTACCACATACCAGATTTTTTTTAATGAAAGTAGATGCCAAGCAAAGGAGTGGCAGACAAGAAGTGGGTTAAACAATGTGTACCTTCTCCCTGAAGCAGTGAGCTAGACATGCTTCTTATATTGCAAATCAGATTGTACTATAACCAGAGCATAGGAGTCCCTTGTCAGTTGCTTTACTTGACTTGTTCCCAAGAATCCAGCAACTGGAAAACCAGATGAGCTATAGAATTAAAAAAATAAAATAAGTCCATACAGCCTGCCCACACCAACCAATTCAGGAGTGAAATTTGCACCCCTGAGCTGTAGCCAAATCTTAAGAGAATTAGGAAAGGATGAGTGAATGAACAGAAATGGACATTTGTACCAAGAGGAGCTTCTGAATGGGGTCATTTATGCCAATAATGAGGAGTGGGAGTTTTCTGTAATGCATATTGTTTAATTTACTGTGTGTTTACACAAGTTTATATGTGCCTGAGTGTGTGTATGTGTAGCATATTTATGCAGTACCTAGAAGACAACAGAAGAGAGTTGTTGAATCCCCTAGAACTCCACCTGGAGTTCCAGGTGGTTATATGGTGCCATGTGGATGTTGGGAACTGAACCCGAGTCCCCTGAAAGAATAGCAAGTGGTCTTTAACCACTGAGCTATCTCTCCAGGTTCTATATGTTTTTTTTTTTTTGAAAGAATGCATCAATATTTTGTCAATGTCACAGACTCATGCTAGGAAGCCAGACTAAGGTCATTAAAAATGTTCACACTGATGCTGCAGCATTGACTAAGCCATATGTTGTGTGTACGCTACCTGACTCGAGGGCTCAGCGCAGGAAGTGGCATTTGATAGCTTTTTCTAATTGCTGGTTATGTACAGACTCTTGAATCAGATATGCACTGCTCTATAATTCTGAAATTCAGGCTTAAGATAACAAACATTTATCTCAGTTTCAGAGGGTCAAGTACCCATGAGTGATTTAGTTAGATCGTTCATAGTTGAGCTGTCAGCCAGGGAGCTCTAATCAGCTACAAGTTGGGGATGGATGATCTGCTTCCAAGACAGCATGCTCAGCTCACACTGAGACTGGTAGGAGATCTCAGCTCCCTATTAAATAAACCTCTACACAAATTTGCCAGGACTCTGTGACGTGGCAGCTGGCTTCTCTAGAGCAAGAGATGCAAGAGAGAGAGGGTATGTGTGTGTCTTAGACTGTATTTCACAGTTTCACTCACCAGTTTTATCAGCTATAGAGAGCAACACTAAACCAAGTGGGAGATGGGTGTATAAGGTGTGCAAAGCAGAAGATGGTACTCACACTTGGCCTCTTGCTATCCCAATTCTTTTGCAAAAATGACTGAGTGCAACAGACTCCCAGCATTAGTATAACCTATTTGTATTATCAGAATTTGCAAAAGAGACGAAATACAAACCTCTTCATCATAAGTAAGTAGTACAAAAACATACTGTAACCTAAAAGCTTTGTTTGCTAGTTCAAAATAATCAGGCTTCATGAAATCCAAAATTCTGTCAGTCTCGGGATGCAAATTTTAATTAGATGTTCCCTGATAACTCTCCAAGTGTATTGTTTGTTCAGTGAGAGATAAGTTTCATTTTGCAGTGTTATTGAAACTTGAATTAAAGTGACATTTAATCCACTTACTGTTAGAATTAACAGAAAACTCCACACTCCTTTTTTTTTTTTTAACTGCTGCTGCAGTTCTTGCTGATGAATGGTTATGGGTAAGTCTGTGCACAAATATATATATACATATATATTCTGCATACACATCTTCTCTGGACATAAATATAGTATTGGCTGCCACAGCACAAATTCTTTGGATCTCAGCATGCCAATAGTGTATAAGCCCCAGCATGACTCACTTCTTTTGTCTCCTTTCCAGCTTGAACACTATATAATCTACCTTTTCAGAGTTCTCTGATGTCATCTGCCTTCAGCTAACACTAAAAGGATTATCAATGAAAAAATAATGCAAGGCAATTCCTGAAATCACATGACAATCCACAATTTTCAGTTGCATCACTGGATGATGTGCAGTAGTAGACATTAGTTCTTACCGTAGTTGGAACTAAAGGGTGAACAAAAGTTATAAATATTTCCACAGTTTGTAGCTATGTCCTGAGAACTCAGCATAAGATAGAACCCTGGCTTAAAAAAGAGGAGAGCAAAACACAGGTCTCTGCAACTACGAGGCTCTTTTAGACCAGGGACCTATCCTGTTCATTCCCAGGGTCTCATATTATCCCTGTTCTCTAGGTGGTAAAACACCATTTCCATAGCTTCGTTAATCTTACTCAGCTGAGGACCCATCATGCTACACCACCAACCTACCAGACAAGATGGGCTCACTCGTGCAATCGTGGTTTGCTTTGTGGGTAAGCAAGAACTTTCTGACTAGATTTGGAACGTGCTACCTAAGAGGGAATTCACATATACCACTATATGCCTGGTCAAATTGCCTTCTGAAATATTCATGCCCATAGACTTCTGCTGCTGTTATCATCTTTGGTTAGAAAAGCTTCTTTCTGAAGTGGTGGTTGCTCCAGACACTCATGACTGTTCAGAGTCCTGAGAATATGTGACTGTTGAATGCTCAGCTCTAAGTGCGGCATCTATAGCACCGCCTCTGAGGCCCGGGGAACATTTGGAATAGGGGCCAAAGTTAATATAAGAGCTGGAGGAAGGGGAAGAGTGTCATGGGACATTGTTTTCTGGATGTGACATGGCCCACTGTACTCTTGAAAGTTGTGATGACCTGAGTCAGTCAACATTCCATCACAAACAGGTTTAGAGTACCACAAACACCCCTCCTCTCTCTGCGAATATATCAGTAGTTAATTGTTTCTAGGGCACGGGAAGACAATTTCTTGAGTAGTGTAGCCACTACTGAATCCCTTACTCAGGCTCCTGTAAGAAAATCTAATTAAACCCATTGGGGTCACAAAAAATTCCAAAAAAAGAAGATATGTGTGTAGAAAGGGGATCCATCAAGAAGGAAGAAGAGGACCGATAGGGATGACAGTGGATGAGAGTGCAATGAAGAGGGGCCAATAAGACCAAAATACATTATACACATATGTGAAAGTATCATAATGCAACCCATTATTACATATAACTGCCATATAGTTTTGGTTTGTTTGTTTGTTTGTTTGGCATGGCTAGAGAGACAGGCCAACTACAGGTATTAGAAAGCTGTTTACACCATAAAATTAGCTTGGTATTGGAAAGCAATAATTGAAAGGGGCCTCTGAGTCAGCACAGCACACACCCAGACATCAAATTCTCAGCACAAAAGAAGTTTTATTACCCAGAGGGACAAAGATGGGGGGAGAGTGTTCCTGCCTCTAGATGGAGCAAAGACAGCAGGAAGTGTTTCTGCAGGGGTGGTTTTTAAGGAGGAAAAGGATAAATTGCTAAGTTGTGATTGGACATACTAGCCAGTGTAGCTAAATAATGAATTTTGATTGCTGGACCTTAAAGTTCTAGTCAGGCATAAGGGAAAGGCCAAATAAGGAAACAGACCTTGGTGTCTAACTGTAGAAATGCAATCTAGTGGTTTAGCAAGGGAGATGAAAGGGGAAGGGGCAAGACCTGCCAGAGCCACGTTTGCCATGCTGGTACCTGTTGCCCATTACTTGACACTTCTCCTCTTTTGACCATGCAGAAGCTCTCCTCTCTCTGAGGGCTTCTGAACAATGATCTCCAAACTGCCTGGTTTTGACACTGGATGTAGATTTCAAAGACAATGGGGAACCTTGGGCTCCCATCACTTAATTTTGCACCAGTTTTCTAAAGGTTTAGTTTCTTACAGGGACATGAGTAAGGCATTTACCAGTGGCTACACCTTGGCCATCTGAGCAAATCAAAGAATCTTTGCAAAACGGCTCCTGGCAATGTAGAAGGCCTCTGGCCTCCTAGCTCACATGAACTTTGGAGAACCAGGCTGCAACATTGGGCTCTCTGCTCAGTGCATTGTATCTAACACTGATGCCAGAACTGGAGAAGCACAGAGAGTGCAGGGTGAGCTGCTGCTGTGTACGTCCTGTCTTGCCCACTGTTAGAAGATTTATTCATTACAAAAGACCAGCACATCAAATCTCTCTCACACAGCTGACATGGATCTACCCTAGGCCTCTGTCAAAGTGCTCTTCTACACAAAGAAAGCCCTACCTGTTTGCTTTGACTAATAGGGGCATTGCTCTGGGGTTGCTTTTTGCACAAAGACTAGAAAGAAAGCCAGTGAAACACGGATGCACACTGGTGTGATTTACTCCAGAGGACTTGATCTTGCTTTTCTAAAAACAGATTGCATAAACCAAAGTATTTTTTGTGGGGGGAGGAAATGATTGGAAACAGAGAAATTAGTGTGTCAAGAAATCACGTGGGATGAAACATTCTGAAATAACGGGGAATCCACCTCAGGGCTGGGAATTTCCTGGAAATCCTCTCGAATGAGTGTCATGTTCATTGTCTATTCTTTTTTTTTTAACTTTTTTTTATTATTAATTACACTTTATTCATTTTGTATCCCCCCATAAGCCCCTCCCTCCTCCCCTCCCGATCCCACCCTTCCTCCCCTTCCTGCACGCATGCCCCTCCCCAAGTCCACTGATAGGGGAGGACTTCCTCTCCTTCTTTCTGATCTTAGACTATCAGTTCTCATCAGAAGTGGCTGCATTGTCATCTTCTGTGGCCTGGTAAGGCTGCTCCCCCCCCTCAGGGGGAGGTGATCAAAGAGTAGGCCAATCAGATTATGTCAGAGGCAGTCCCTCTCTCCATTACTATGTAACCCACATTGTCTATTCTTAAGCTGCTGCAGGAAATCCAACCCAGTACTTAACAGGGATGGAGAGAGCCTCGCAGCAGCTAATGCAAACTGGGAGTGCCCGGAGCAAAAGCTGATCAGCCAGCAGTAGCCCCATATCCCCTGGGCCAAAATTCTCCGTAGCTTAGCAACCAGCAGTCTTACCTCTCATTGCTAATGCAAATGCATCCTGCAGATGCCTCTGAGGGGATCATTAAGAGTGTGCTGCTGCGGGTGCTGCTGCTGTAGAGCATGCTGCCCAGCTGAGAGAAGCCTGAAGTTTGGAGAATCTCAGAAGACCTGCAGCTAGGAAGGACTGTAAAGCATTACATCATCATGTTGTCAAGGCAACTGGCCAGGAGGCTTCTACGGGTTCACACTGACAGGTCCTCTAGACAAGGACTGAGCCAAACAGAAAGTAGAGGGGAATGGTGTGAGGCCCAAAGCATGACCGCTCTCAGGCTCTGTATTTAGAAAGATGACATTACCAGTTGCTGCCTCAACTTTGGTGTGGGGATAGGTAAAACAATGAGATATATCATGAAGAGATGACTATACAGCTGCCCACATCTGCAAGAAAAGGCTTCCTCTAGGTCCATCACCTCAGCATGTGAAAGAGGCTGTGTATCACATAGACAGTCTTTCACCCCTGGGAGCTCTTGCCTCAGGCTTCCTTGTCCATTCTAGAATGGAAGATTTTGTCAGCTTTGTAAGGGTGTATAGCAAAGTATGACAAACTGAATAGCTTTAAACAGTAGAAACTTAATTCTTTTGCAGTTGTTAAGGCTTGAAGTCTGGAATAAAAGTATCTTTCAGGGCATGGGCCCTCTGGCGTCCCCAGAAGACAGCTAGCTCCCTCAGGTGGTCCTTGGATTGCATCAGTATCCAACTTCACAGGCAGTACCCTTTCTGTGTGTGTCCCTCATGTGAGAACACCAGTCGTCTTTGACGGGGACCCACTTGATGGCCTAGTCTTCGACTGAGTATATTTGCAAAGCTCCATTTTTTAAAAAAGGATCCTTCTCACGCATTCTAGGGTTTAGTGTCTCAGCACATCTCAGACCTACGCTTCACTTCCCAAAACATCAGTTACACACAGACTTTGTTTAAAGCCTATAGGAGTGCTCCCTCAAGTCTGCTCAAAGGATATGCTTGAACTTCTACCCTGTCCTTACATTGTTTATCTTTTGAGGAGGGGGAACTATATCCCAGAATTCCCTTTGTAGGTAGGCTAGCCCAAACTGGCTGGATTTAAGATAACGTCCAGACTGACCCCCAGACAGCCTCTAGCTTTTGTCTGGAAGCTAGGTGACCTTCTATCACCCCCAACCTCCCCCACTACCACTACTATAAGACCAGGCAGATAACATGACATGACCAGATGGAACCATAAAGAGATAGGAAAGGTAATTTTGAACTCCCTTAAAATCTCTGCCATTCCCAGAAAAGTCCTCAGCCTTGTTAGCCCACCTGCTCCTTTCTTTCATCTGCATTTATGAACTCCTGACCAGCTAGGCTGGAGAAGTTGGTTTTATTGAGAAATCTTAATTCTCCCACCTATCCTATTCTCAGTGAAAAATAAAAGTCTGCTGAGTTGGTACTCAGTCTCTGGCATTGGCTCTGCAATGCTGAGGGGGAAAAGGATCCTGTTTAGGTGGCATAAACTATTAAAAGTAGAGTATAAGGGAACTGTGTTCTCTTAGTGGTACTGTAGAATACACAGTTCAAAGTCAAACCACAGCCAAGCTGGTAAAAATTGAGCCATTAAGAAAAGGAGGGGGGAGGTACCCCATGTCCTGGGAAAGCAAGTTTAGTGCTCCCAAGGCTCTCCACAGCCTCCACCATTGCTTCTTTCTCCTTTTCTGTTCTTCTTGCAAAATATGCCACATTGATGGCTTCTTTTGTGTTAACTCAGTTGAAAGGAAGCAAATGTCACCCTGCTCCTTTCTGCCAGAAAGGATGGAAGCTGTCATCTCCAGGAGTACAGCTAGACTCTTATAGCCACATTGCTGCACAGTTCCACAGAGCAAACTTTTCCAAGTCAACTTTTGTCTTTTATTAGCTTCCCCCATATATCTGCCTTCCCATTTCTTACCATCTCAGAAATGCAAAGTCCTTGGTTTTGTGGGGCACTTCTGAAAGGGAACAGTATCAGCTCAGGGCACCCCAAGACCAAGTTCTCAGCACAAAGGAGATTTGCCAAAAAGGGACAAATGGCAGGGAATAAGAGACAAAGACAGGAGATAGAGGACAAGGGAGGAGGGGGAGGGAACAATGGAGAGAGAGAAGGATTATTTGTCCTGGGTGGTGAAGGAACTACAAAGGGTGCCTTGGTTGTTGGCTTCAGGAGAAGGACGTGGCCAAGTAGGGAAACAGACTTTGGTGGTTAGCTTTAGGAATGCAATCTAATGGTTTTTAGCAAGGCAGAGGGAAATGGAGAAAAGGGCAAGGCCTGCCAGAGCTATGTTTGCCGTGCTCAGGCTGGCTAGAGTCCAACTTCTATAAAAATGTTTATGCAGAGTGCTATACCTAGGACGCTATCTAAACTCATTCTCTATGTAAACTCTCATCTCTTCAGTACCATGTTCATGCATGGGACACCTACATGTAAGATTTTGGGTGAGTAGTTTCCTCTCATTGTTCTATCTTTTGTCAACCTCATATATAGGGATTTTTATAGGATCCTTTCCAGAGAACCTGAGATGGGTAGAGAGGAAGAGCCTTTTTCCTTTCTTATATAAAGATACCAAAAGTCAGCCTGGCTTTCTGCTAAGCATTCCTTTCCAAAAATCTTTCAGCCTGGGCACAAGTTTCTCAGTGAATCCCTTGGCCAGAAGAGCCCAGGAAATAACACTCATGGTAGAATGGGTCTACATTTGCTCTTTCTCAATAGATGGCAAATCGTGTAAAATTAACACAGAGCTCCTGCATTGTTTCCTCTGTCAGGGGCCCGCCAGAATTCTTTGGAAGATTATTCTTGTGCACTGAAGCCATTGGGTGGGGAGTTCAACCCTCAGGAGCATGAATAGACCTGGAAGCTGTGTCACTTCACTCCTGGGCTTTCTCCAAGGAACGTAGGATGAGACTCCAACTTCTGCCAGCGGCTAATACTGTATATGTTACTTGAAATATCACCCGTGATAACTGGATTAAGGCTACTGACTCTGAAACAGAGATTGTTCTTGCTGGAAATAAAGATTTCAGTGAACTCTAGGTGAGGAAGGATTTCTGGGCAAATGAAGCCGAGTTGCAAGACCGTGCTGCCCAAAGCTAAAGAAAAACAATTAAAAAAGGAAAAGGTTTCATGCCCATGTCCAACCCCAAGTTCTTCCCAGCTTGAAGGTGACTCCCTCTCTATCTTGAATCCAACTTAGTCCTATAAAAATTCTGACTGCATTGAAACTGTTGCTGGTGTGTAATATAATCTCATTTATTAAGATCATGTAGCTGTAGCAAAGGGACAGATAACCCTTGATCCATTGATTGATTCAGGTCTACTCTCCTATATTTTCCTATACAGCTCTAGGTAGGACAATGATTACTATGTTCTAAGAAGGGAGGTCTCATTTCTGATATGAAAAGGCTGTGATAAAAGAGCTAACCTACAGAAATGCTGGATAAATAACTGCTATTTTAAGGTCCTGGACATGGTCTCATTTTATACAAGAGACACTTGGGAGCCTCAAAGACTAAATGATATTTTCTGACTGAGAGATCCAAAATTTGAAATTTAATTCCTGGGGCAACATGACTGTGGTCCTGGGCACAAGTTTAGACAAAGAAGCAGACAAGTTAAGACAGACCCGCCTGCCCAGCGTTAAGTGCCTCAAAAGATATTGTTGCTTGGCTACCAGACCAGATGGCCAGCAGTCCCCCTCCTAGGTAGTACGGCCCAATCAGCACATAGCAGGACACTCCAGGCACTGTTCATGATCAGCTAGTGGCCGGGACGGGACCACTGCGGCCTTGGCTCCTAAAACAGACCTATTATTTTAAAGGTCAACTTCCTAAAGACCCTCTTACCCAATCCTGTAACACCAAGGCATGTAACTCCCTGCTTGCAGATTTTCCCTTTAAAAACCTTTTTCCCCTAGACCACAGGGCCGCATTCCTCTCCTGTTTCCACGGGAAGTTTGTGATACAGCTTGAGCTTATAATTAAAAGATCCTCATGTGTTTTGCAGCGGAGTCGTTTTGGCGGTCTCATGAACTGAGCATAACATGATCATGCAACCAATTGTAAGACACCAAATTGAATCCTGGAGTATTGTGTTGTGAGACACTATTCCCAGGAAGACATGAACAAATAACTATTTGCTCCAGAAAGGAAATTGACAATAGACCCAAAGAACACATACCACCAAAGTCCAACTTGATAAATTAATAAGTTCTGTTGAGGTTATTTGCAGGAATATAGGTGAAGGGTTACTTAGAAGAGGAGAATTGATTCAAAGACAGCTGCATCACCGAGGTCCACTGGAAACTGGAGCACATTGCATACGCAGCCTGCAGGCAGCTCAAAAGATAGGAGATTGTCCTTCCTAGGTTGTTCAGCTGGTGTGAGCCTGTTCCAGGCAACCCATCTGGTCTTTGTTTCTACTCAACAGTTCAGCTGGTCTCTGCCTCCTTCAGGCTGCTTGGCTGATCTCTGCTTCTTCCAGGTGGCTAGGCTTGTCTAAGAGTGACCTTTATCAGTCCTTACTGTTTATATATGCTGTCTGTGAGAAAAAGGGACTAGAGAATCTGGTCAGTTTCAGGGACTTCCTGAAGCTATTGCGTTGTTTACTTCCTGTCTAACGCACTTCCCTGAAGGATGGAGTGTTTTACCTCCCTGTAAATACCCTGTCTTAAAATATCCTGTTTTAACTTCCCTTTTGTAATCTGTATCTTAAGTTTCTCTCCAAGATAAAGGCTTTAATGTCAGAGGAAACTGCTGTACAACACTTCAGAGTATGAATTCTGCCTCCTGCGGCAGCAGTGACTAGGAGGCACAGTCGCTTCCAGATCAATACTGCTTGCACAGTTCTATAACCACTTTAAGCTGAGGCTCCTGACTCAGTTTCCTCCTGGGAGTACAGTGCTTCATGGATTCTCCTTCAATCCAGAGCCCTTTTTTTGTTTGTTTGTTTGTCTGTTTTTTGAGATAGGATTTCAATGTGTGGCCTTGGCTGTCATGGACTTACTTTGTAGACCAGCTTGGCTACCCAGAGCCTTTTAGAACTCTGTTTTCTAAAGAATGACTGACTG